ATTCTCTGTATATTTCTGTGTATTCTGTGTATTTTCTCTGTATTTTTTCTGTTTTTGTGTTAGGGCTCTGTGGGACTCACAGCAGGATGAAGAGTTTCAGCAGCTGGTACTCCATGTGACCCAGTTCAGGTACTGGTTCTGTGAGCAGGATCTTCTCTGTTTCCAAGCTGCTGTCTGCACACAGAAGGAAACGCGGCTCACTCTGCGTGTTCATCACCATGTGACTGTTGACTGACAGGTGGGTGGGCCTACCGGTGAGCGTGTGCGTGCTGAATGGCGTGTCTGTGGTGAGGCCGGGGGAGGAGTTTCCCAGCAGGTCCGGTAGGGACGAGGAGACGGCGGGGAGCGACGGCTTCCTCCGCCACTTCAACACCTCCGGAAACTCATCCTGACGGAGAGACGGAGGCAGAAAAAAGTTCCAATCAAAGTTTCTGAAGCAGAAATAATAAAACTTTAAAGTGGCTACGAGCGGAGAAATACTGAACTCAGCTAATGATGATAAGAAAAACAAGAATAAGATAATTGAAATCAGCTCCTCGTTATATTTAACACTTCTCTGAGTCGACTGATTTCAGACTGAACCTGAAGGCAGCACAGGGGAAATGCCTCTTATCCAGGGACCCTGAAGGTCTCACAGAGGGTCACCTCTTTCACTGACCGCTGACTCATATCTAAAACAACTGCTGAGGAGGACACTGCTGTCCTGAGCAGCTGTAGTGGATCCATTAGCGGACTCTGTCGGACTGGGAGCTCCAGACCGGGACTGAAAGCAGCATCTGATGCTGACAGAGGACAGTTGGACTGCAGGGAATAAAGGACTGAGGTTCTTTTGCCGGTTTTGGCTCCTGCCACTCTGAGCTAACATTAGCTGCTTGAGCTAACTAACTATGTAATGGCATCTCACATAACTGTTAGCAACAGATAGCTTCTTTTAGCAACGAGTCCATCTGGAAAATCACATCGGTACCGCTGTCGTCAAACTGTCCTCTGTCTGTCTCGGAGGCTGCTGAGCCCCGTTCAGTTGCTAACGCCAACGGCAGCTACATTAGCAGTTAGCGGAGGACGTCAGAGGGAAAACCAGACAATATTATATTACATAAAATCTGATCCAGTTTCA